AGTCCACTTGGATGTCATATCTGGGGATCTGTCATTTTGTTGATGCACGAGAAGACTGAGAGAGTGTCTTCCTTATAGCCCTACAAATGACCAATGAAAGAGGCCATTTCCTAGGAAGTGTTCAATGCCCATCATTTTGAAATTCACCTTCAGAGGCAACTCAACCCGTGGAGGGAGGAGGGCTGTGGAGCGGAGCTGCTGAGAAAAGCTGCATTTGAGGTATTCCATCACTACCCCCTCTCCACACATGAACTCTACAAAGCAGCACACAGCCCCCAGGAATGAAGTGTGACCACCACCCCCCCCTTCACACAGAAGAAAGCCAAGTCACAGCGCTTCGCACCCTTCCCTGGGGCTCTTCAGGGAACCCTGCCTCCTCCAGTGTGGGTGGTGTGTTGTTCACAGTAAAGGCCAGATGGAAACAAAACCAAAGAAGGTGCAACTGGCAAAGAACAACCTTCCTTTTCTTAGATTACAGACTTTGAGTCTCTCGTATTTGGGAAATTATAAAATAATAATAGACTAGTGACCTAAAACGGAAAGTAAGCAGAATGTGACCATCTATTTAGAACTGTCTTGATGTAGTCAGTATCCTAAGCCTCTCTCAGAAGGCTGGTTCTCAGGAGGTGCTACTGAAAAGTGGTGGAAGCTTTACTGTAGTGCCTGGGAGGAGGTCACTGGGTCATTGTGAGCATGCTCCTGCAGGGAACATGAGAAGCCCATCCCCCCTTTGCATGTATTTGCTTCCTGGCTATCAGGTAAGTGGTTTTGTCTATCAATAGTGTCTTAAACTCTAAAGAGGCAAAGGAAAGCCTTGTTCCCTTGGGTATTTGTTATGGTGACAAAAGCTGGCTCACATGTACCTGTTGCCATGGGGTTAATTTCTATTGCTCAGGTGGAGGAATTTTCTGTAGTTATATCATGTGTACTGGGGATCTTGAAAACCCTGGGAAGGCGTAGAATCTCTTCTGTGATAGGTATATCGGGGCTTACAACATTCCATTGAATTAAAAAAAAATTCTGGAGATTATTTAATTCATAATAGTTTGGGCATAAAATGCATATTCATTCTGATATTGAACAGTTGGCCCTCAACTTGATGGCACTATGGGGGGGGCAGTGGCAACTTTGAAAGGTGGGGTTTACCTAGAGAAAGAAGGTCACCAAGGACACAGCTTTGAATGTTATACCTGCAACAAATCAGGTTCTCTCTCTCTCTCTCTCTCTCTCTCTCTCTCTCTCTCTCTCTCTCTCTCTCTCTCATTCTTTGGTATTTTGTGCACCACTGAGCAAAAGTAAGAGAGTTGCACCATGAATCTTACTAACAGTATTTTAAAAATAATTCCAAATATCACAAAAGAAAGCTTGGAAAAGGAGAGATGATGTAGCTAATGTATTTCAACTAGTATCTTACTCCAGACATTGATTGGGCCTCTTTGGAGATGAGTTAGTTGTTGATCTACACCTGCTTTTCTTCTCTTTTCATTAATTTAATTTAATTCCATTTATATGTAACCAGAGAGTAGCATTCTCCTGCAGTATGCCCACTCCATTTGTAAACTGAATTGAAGTCATCATCCCGCTTTTAATGGCTGTGAAAGACTGAGAAATTAATAGCTCTCTCTTGAATTAGTAAATTATATTTTTCCAAAGAGAGAAAAGTGCCTCATAAAAATAAGCGAGTAGAGTCACTTTTATTTTATAACAAGTCTTTTTAGGCTATAGCTTTAAGCCCCCCTTTTACAATAACACTGCACATTGATATGGCACTTTATACTTTTTGAAGCACTCGCGTGCACATTAGGCTGTGTTATCGCCACAACAACCTTCACGTGTAAGTAGGTTAGGTACAAGAGGAAGCCTGTGCTGCCAAGGGAAGAATCATGATGCAAGGCGACCGTGTAAGTGTGCTGTGCATCAGGCATGGCCTACTGTTTGCTGATCCTTGGATGTTTTACGATCTTCTTCTGTGCCAGGAATGGGAAGCTATAGGGAGCACTGAAGGAGACTTGTGTCTTCTTTATTTTTTTATTTTTTTTCAGATAATTCATTCTTTGTACCTTCCGGAAGCATGACCCAGGAAAGCTCAAGTTCCCCCGTGTATATCAGTGTTCAGTCTACCTGGGAAACGCTTCTATTTTATTTTCTTTCTCCAAAACATAATATTTCATCATAACGTATAGTCGATGCTCTGAAGGGCCTCAGGAGCTTGCACACTGGTCCAGCGTCCTGCATCCTGCATCCTGCACTCCTCTTAACTCTTCAAGCCCGAGTCAGCCGCATGTCTCCTCACCAAACTGAATAGCACCAAGTTCAAGCTAAGAAGACATCCAGACAAAAACCTGGGATGTACTTATCTGCCACTGCCAAGGTGACAAGCTTAACAGGTGAGAGCAAGCAGCTGTTCTCCCTTCTATCAGATTAAAATTCAATTCCCCTTGAGTAGCATCTCCCATTAAAAAGAGTTTTCTATAAAGATGTGCATTTGACCATTGAACAACATATTGCCAGATGCAGGCTATTCCTAATAATAAAATAACAGGTGAAATCAAATCCTCTACAGTTTACCTACTTGGCTTGAGGAAAATAACGTGTACTCCTCATTTTAAGATCCTGTATTGCATACATATATGAACACACAATACATATACATACGCTTATGGTTTATAGCATTTGATTTCATGGGCTAGGCAGTCTGGAACTTGTTTACTTTCTGCACTAGTCTCATCTCATGCCTGCTGGGGTCACACTTTTGTGCGACCACACCCAGATAAAACTCATATTTCTTAAGAGTTCAAGACTGAGTCCATCTTCACTCTAAGTAAATCTATTTCAAAACTAATCTCTTAAGCTATACATTTTAAGTGACCTTGCAATTTTATGAGGAAAGAGGAAAATGGATCTACCTTGACCATTGAAAATCTTCAACAACCTGTATCCTTCCATTTTTGCTTCCTGATGCTCTTTTTTGTTCTCCATGGAATGCTATAGTTTCATATTCATGTACTTCTGGTGATGGGTCTTGCCCGCAGGCTCTTATATACACACAAAACTTTACACATGGTATGTACAACCTTCAGTCATGGAAACACATTGTAGGTTTTCAGAGAACCTATTATGCCCCAGTGCTGTGTAGCTATTTCTACTGTATTGAAACATTCACTCCCAGAGGGAAGAGGAATGCTTATATGACTTAGAAAATTAAAACTTTCAAGAAGCTTCAGAAGGTTAATAGATTTTCTCAAGTACCATCCCTGGGCCTATACAAGCTGTAAACCATCTCTGGGAAGAGGGGTCTTTTCAATGGGGCTGTTGGCAAGTTGGGCAATGAACTTCAGGGGCACAGCATTCCTGGATTATTTTTCATGCTAAAGTGGGCTTTTTGGTGATACAGCTTGCTTTTGGTCACCCATGTTCCTGTCAGTTACCCCTTACCCTTGCTCCTATAAAGAACACAAATATAATAAACTTACTGATTCACCAAGCTAACTAGGGTAGAAGACTGTTACGGCCATTGTTGGTGCCCTATCTGGGGTGCATAGACTTCAAAAGTCGTATACCACCTTCAGTTCAGAAGGTAACTTCTGAACTGGTTGGGTTAAAAAAATAAACATTCCACAGCCTGTTTACCCTCTGATCTCAGGAGATAGTTACTAAAGCACTTGATAATATGATAATAATAATAAAAAACCCTACGGTTCTATGGAGTTCAGGGTGGCTACAAACAAGAAAAATGGTTATCTCTTCTTGAATTATTTGGGAGGCACTACAGAGGAAAGAGTATTTGTTGCGTTTTTAATTCAGTAGAACATCATCTAGGAGCTCTGGATGCAGGCAGCATTATGAGACAAACTAGAGAGAAGGGAGTCAATTCAGAGAGTCTGCATCCAGGACAGAAAAGAGGAAGGAGGTTACACATGGAAGAGGAAAGAGTAACTGCTCTGGAGATAACTTTCTGTTAATGGGTATCTCCAAAGGAGAGTCTAGGGCTTCTGTACCACATGCACCATGAAGCCTCACATGCAGTAAATAAAAGGAATGCTAAGGTTCAGGTGAAAACAGTGAGGCTTTATCAAGGTGATCAAACCTCTTACCAGCACAAGGATTAGAAAGTCAAACTCTCTTAAGTGTGATGGCACCCACACGGAGAATCCTCAATGATTTGCTTGGGGGGAACATTCTGGATCTGCCCCCACCTCATCTTTCTTCCTCCTTCCCTCTCTCTCCTTTCTCTCTCCTTGCCCATTTGCTCCCTGCCCTGCGCTCCTCTGCAGATGTTCCCAGGCAGCTGCCGCTGTTTCAAAACCCACATCCCCACTCTGTGCTTCTCCTCCCTCTGGGTTCTGTGCGATTGACTGTTTGTGACGGCATATAAAATCTGGTCCAGGTGGAAAGAGCTGACTGCCGTAGGTCAGGATGGGGGTCAGTGAGTAAGATGGCTTCTGACCCTCTACAATGTCACTGGAAGGTATGGTCAAGCTGCTGGGGTTCTTGAGGAAGAACACTTGTTGAATCTAAACTGTCTTTACCCAGATTCCCCCTTCAGCTGATTTACTCTGGTCTTGGACACCTACTTACCACCAGGTATCACAGAGCATATGGCCCCCATTTCATCGTCTTAATAACACCAAAGAAACACAGAGATTGAATGACCAGCACCATGTGGGAGTGTGTTGGGGTAGACATGGACAGTCTAACTTGAACACAGGTTTTTGTCCACTGAGATATTATACTTATACTTTCTAATTTATATGGGCAAGATATTTGAAAATATTTTCTGTAAAACATGCACTTCTACTCAGGGAAGGACATTTTCCCTTTTTAAGACAAGCTTAACTGAAGGCAAAATTGGCCTCAAACTCAAAATGTAACTGAGGATGACCTTGTTGTAATTGGAGCGGCGGGTCTGCGTCCCCAGCACCCCGGCCACCTGCTAGCTTATGCCCCGAAATAACAACACACAAACTGTATTCATTTAAACACTGCTTGGCCCATTTCTATCTAGCCTCTTCTAGGCTAATTCTCGCACCTGGACTAGCCCATTTCTAATAATGTGTGTAAGCACCCCAAGGTGTGCTTACCGGGAAGATTCTAGCCTACATCCATCCTGGGTTGGAGCTGCCTGGGAGAGCGGAGCCAGCCTGGCATCTCTGCTCCAGAGAGCAGAGCTGTCGAGTCTGTGCTCACTTCCTCTTCCTCCCAGCATCCTATTCTGTTTACTCCTCCCACCTATGTTTTAACCTTTCAGGGCCAAGGAGTTTCTTTATTGCTTAACCAATGAAACCAACAGATTGATATATGACACTCCCACATCATGACCTTGAATTTTTGATTCTCCTGACTACCTCTCCTGGGTGCTGGGATTACAGGCATGTACTAGCAGTGCTAGGGATACAGGCATGTACCAGTAGACCCATGCTATGCCATGCTCTGCAAACCTGAGGCTTCATGCATGCGGAGCAAGCAGTCGAGCGACTGAGCCCAGAACAAGACTTCCTCATGGATAAAACAATGGGACTGTTTGTGGAAAAGAAGGTACTTAGTGATTAATTACAGAACTTTCCCTTTGCATGTAAAAGAAGTGATACAGTTTTCCTGCATCCCTTCTTATTTACTTCAAGAGCTTTTTCTGACACATGGATCCACACCTCCAGATGGAACTTTCTGTGGGGAAAAAAAAATAGCCTTTAGTAGACTTCTGAAAACAACTTAGAGAGCAAATCCTCTTTCATTTATTTACCCTCTATGTCTCCAGAAGACCAGCTCACCGTCAGATTCTAGATTGTTCTGAAAATATCTAGGCGGGCTTAAAGATATTATTTATCTTTATTGCTGGAAACCCAGCAGGTGAAGAAAAATGAAGACAATTGGGTGAATAATGGATGTGGAGATGACTTATTGTTTCCCTCGATGAGAAATAAGCATAGTTTATTATGTGACCTTTTTCCTCAAGTGCCTGTCAAGAACTCGGAGTAATAAACCCGCACTTTCAAACAGTGACTGATTATAAAAAGATAGACATTAAAATGTTATATCTCTTTATCAAGAGCTAATAGTCTATTTGGGTGGGGGAGGATAACAACTATGGCCCCCTCCCACCTAAAACATTCCTGCCTCCCACCTGCATGGGGTCCTAGGCTCACTTCTCTTTGCTGGTTTCATTTTGAGATGACTTTGGTTTAAATTCATTAAAATAAATGTATGGTTTTTCTTGTTATAAAAGGTCATCTTGGTTTTCAATCATATTTCATCTTGGAGACCTGAAGAGAGAAAAATTCTTCTGATTTTTATTTAAGGGTCTATGGTGTCTGACACTAGTCTTTTTATTTTCTATGTAATTCTCTTTGGTGAGGTGTTATCTTTTTTCATATCTATCCTAAACTTTCAGCTAATGAAAACCCATTAGTACTCCTTTCTTGTATGTCTTACTTAAAATGCCTGTGGATGTCATACAATATCACTTCAATCCAGCCTAGTTCTTGGCCCCTTATTGTCTTGACTCTTTTAAGAGATCAGTTTTGTTTTAGAGGCATGCCATTCAACAGGATCCCTTTGTCAGGCTAAGGGTCATATAGGAACTTGAATGGAAGTCCTTCCTACATAGAAAATTCATATTCAAAAGTAGAAACACTTGGATTTTGTCTCCAGGACCTCCATCCATAGAAGGTGAGCACTAACTGCATTAACTGCTATCAATTGCTTTCTGACTTCGACCTGTGTGCCACAGCACCCATGTCCACCCATCCTCTGACACACACAAATGAATAAATGTAGTATTTTAAACAAGTGTTGCCTAGCAAATAAAGCACACACACACACACACACACACACACACACACACTGGATATATATTCAGTAAAATCTTTCCATTTCTAAATCTGTCAGAAAAGAGGTTATTACCTACTTTTCAGACAAAAGTACCAAAAATCTTACCTTCTTCTCGTAAAGCGCATTGTATCCACAGAAGAAGACTGGACCCCTTCAATGAAATAGTCTTTACTCTCATTGCAGTTCACTTGGACTTTCCAGTGGTAACACAGTTCCTTGGCTTTCCTCTTTGCAAAATCTTCTTAGAAACTGCATTTATAAAGTCTCCACTCCATAACTCTGCTTGTTGTAGTAAAAAAAAAAAAAATAACCATGAAAAATTTCCCAACAATTAAATATTCCAGAAATAAACTACAAAACTTCAGTGTTATATTTACATGTATGTTCCTTAGCCCTGTCCACATCTCTTTAAAATGAACGTGGTTTGGTTTAGCCCAAATTCAGTTAGTTTAATGACAACTGAATTCCTTTTCATTCACTCAGAGGAAAGCTTCTGTTTTATTTTCAAACTCAGTTGAAACATTGGAAATAAATAATTCTTCCAGGATATGCCAACAGCAATTAAAACAAAAACAAACAAACAAACAAACAAACAAAAACCCAAATTGTACTTACTCATTGCCATTACCCAACTGACGAGCACTGCTTAGGTGTACTTCTAGAAACAATAACCCCAATGAACCGAGTGTTTGTACGTCTTTGCAAGCATGATTCTGTGTGTATGTGTGATACAGACAAAAAGAAAGGGAGACAGACAGACAAGAAGAATGAATGAATGAACGAAAGGAAGACATGTCCATGTTCTCTTCTGTCGACATACTGACAACTTACTTCGCCTGACATGGTGAAAGATGCATATCAAACACAGCTAAAGAACAAAAGAGCTCAGGAAATCAGCAGAGAATGGGGCGCACAAAAGTCTTCCCTCTTTACAGCTTATTCCCATGGAGTGGATGTTTTAGTGGTACATTTTAAGACTTAGTATTTAGAGTGGTGTTTTAGTTATGGCCTTATTGCTGTGAAGAGACAGCATAACCATGGCAACTCTTATTTAAAAAAAAAAAAAAAACTTAGAGTTCAGTCCAGAGACTTAGCTCATTATCAACATGGCGGCGGACGTGCCTGGTGCTGGAGCAGGAGCTACATCTGGATTGGCAGGCTACAGAATAAGAGGGACACTGGGCACGGCTTGAGTATATGAAACCTGAGAGCCCAACCCCAGTGACACACTTCCTCCAACAAGGCCACACCTACTCCAGGAAGGCAGGCCTCCTAATAGTGCCTCTCCCTATGAGCCTATGGGGGCCATTTTCATTCAAACCATTACAGATGGTAAAGGTTCAAAGACTGAAAATGAGGTGATGAGTTTGATTTTGAAGTCTACTGAAGCCTCCCAGACTGAGTACTTTGCACAGTAATAAGAGACTGAAAGAAAAATATGAATTAAAGGGAAAATTTAACAATGCTTAGTGAGCTATACTATTTCTCTAATTTTTCTTCCTCAGTCTTTTATACACTATTTCCTAAAATACACAAGTACAAACATACCACACCACAAACCATTACTGGACACTCCAAGTTTTCTTGATCTTCCTTTAATTCATTCTTTAAAAACCAAAATATTGGGGAAAACCGACGTATCATTGTATGGGAATGACCATTCAGGGCATCCTAAGAACTATGTTTGAAATAGGGAAGTGAAAAGTAGAAGCATTGATTTGGTATCACAGCAAAAGCGGTGTGTCCTGTGCCTTTAATATGTAAATCTATTGAAATCCAGCCCTTGGCACGCTGAGGGGTTCCCTGTTTATTACTTTATGACATTTCCACTCTGAAGGTGCAGGAGGGGCTCGCAGTAATTTGCTCGCTGTTTGACTAGAGAGGCTTCCCTTCAGGATTTCAGCCCACTTTGGGCCCATTTCATTTTCGAGTTGTTGTCAGTCATTTGAGAGTGATGTGCCCCGCGCCTGGGAAGAATAAACACATCACATATTAGGTAAAGCTTTGATGGATGCGGGGTTGCCAAGCGCCAACACCTCTTTCGGAGACGAGCCGAAATCAGAATGTGGGAATGAGAGGACAGGGGAATGGGATGGAACAGAAGGGCCCAACTCGACTTTCCTGGTGGTCTCCAGCTCAGAGTCAACTGCGGGGTGGGTGGGTGTGGGAAGAGAGGACAGCGAAACTTGTATTTGTTTTAGTTTTGCTCTTGTGTGTTTTGTTTGTACTGGCTGTTCCGAAGAGGGAATGAGGCCGGAGCACGCATGATTTGTTTCTCTTCCCGTTATTAAACCCAGAAATCCAGTATCACGGTTAAGAACCAATGTCACGTGTTGGTCATTTTTGATTCGACTATTTCAACCTCTGGTCAGAAAGTCAGCATTCACATTGACTATTTTGTATGTTTGTACTCTCAAGTGCTCCATGTTACACGAGTTTGGATGTCATCTTTACCAGTAAATCTGCATTCGATTTGGGGAACAGGGAAATAACGCTTTCCTTCGAGTCACACAAATTCTTTTCTCTCCCCACCCGCAGAGGCTGCAGAAGGAAATGGACACAGGCAACCGGACTCTCGAGGTGGGAAGTCAGTGCGTCCAGCATTGTTTAGTGAAAGGTTTGAACTTTTCCAAGAACGAATGAAGTTGCTGCCAGAGGAATGGGTTTTCCTTCCCCACGTGCTCCCCATCAGCTAGCTTCAACTTGTCTCTGCTGGATTGAGGAGGGCTTGTGTGAGCACAATTTGAACACGGGCCTTTCCACTCAGGGTACAGCTGGCTTTCAGGCCAGCTCCAGTGATTCTTCTTGAGGACTAATTGTTTCATACTGCTTGAAGATCCTCCTCCCAGAGACTCCCGATGGCTTTATATATGACCTCATAAGTTGGAATGACATGGTCGGATTCCCTATTTCAGGCTTTGGGGCACTTTCCTTTTATTGGATCCAGCACACCCAGGGATGGTTTCCTCTCACATTCTGCCAATTGTCTAAGGAAAGGCCTTGTCTGTCTTTCTCTCTTGTGAGTGAGCTGAAGGATCTCCTTCAACTAAAAGGAAGTGTCTGCTCAGCAAGCTACGAGTTACTTATTAAAATCCCGCCATCTTCCTCTGTGTGAGGCCTTGCCTCGGAGGTTTGAGGTGGAATTCAGCCTCTCTAGAAGAGAAGTCAAACCCTTCCCTGTGCTGTCTGCAGCAGTCCAACAACACACTTTGATTTGGTTAGAAATGAATAAATAAATATAAGAAGAGAAAGTGTAAGTTGAGCGTAATGGTGTCAGTGATCTACCCTGTATAAGAACTAGAGATGTGTATGTATATTTCAAGCCTTGGATCCTTAGCTTGACAGTGAAGCACCCTGATGAGGACAGTTTAACAGGTGCAGTAAAGAAAGAAAAAGAAACTTGTTTATAACCTAGAAGGGTGTGGGGGAATAAGACAATAGAAACTCCATGTTTCCTCATGAAATCTTTATTCATTTTCATATCATTGCTCTAGAACTATCTACTAGAGGACCTTGACTTACCAAACTGAATGATTAAATGGCCTTCTTCACTTCTTCTGTTTTTCCCTCCATTCGTAAAAGTAACACTGAGCAATCGCCTTAAAACACATAATTGACGCGTAAGGGTTTGGAGGACTCGTGACGATGGTTTAGCATTCATTTACCGCTTAGATTCTGACAATCGCCTGGTAACGACTTTCCCTGGACTTAATGGAAGCTCACACGTCATTACTAAATTACCAAACATTGCGTGTCAGGCCTTAAAACTTACACGTCGTTACTTTTAGGGGTGTCCACTGAGTCATTGAGTTCTGGAAAGTTAGGACAAAAGGAAGTAAAGAAAAAATGAATATGTCCATGAATCGTTGTTCCTCATCCTGACATGTTCTTATCGACATTGCCAATAAGGCTTTATCAGCTGGGGGCGCAAGGCAAGTCTATCTTATTAGAGTGAGAACTAACGAAAGATCATCCTGACAATGGAAATTAATTGCGGTTGTTGACAAGGACTCAGGCCTGTGCACTCCCTTGCTGGTGCTCTTTCTTGGCCGTTCAGCTCTCGCCTCTCAATTAGACATATGAAAAGTGAGGCCCTCCCCACGGAGAAAGAAGCTTTTAGATTAATCATATTATCTTAAGGTTCCAAATCTCTGCGCCTGCCTGACCTTTCTTCCGTTAGAATCCATTATCTTAAACTATCACAATAATCCTGGCTTTAGGGAGGGAGGAAGGGAAGAGGAATCAAACCTAATAGAAGGCAAATCAGATTAATCTATGATCTAAGTGCCGATTACACTTGGCCCTGCCCTTGAACACCCAGGTGTAACCTTGAAATTCACATCCACTAAGGCTTCGCAATTGGATTGAGTGTCCCTCAAGGCCGCCAGGGCAGCTGGCCAAACTTTACCCATTAGTCCCCAGTGCGATCCCAAGCCCGGCTTCAATGTCCAACTCCCCCCCCACCCCACCCCCACCCCGCTTGTGGAACTTGGCAGCTGTGCCTTTTCATGTTTGTTTTGGGATAGCTAGCATTTTTTAGATAAAATACTTATTTTGGGTTCTTGAGTTTTTTGTTTTGTTTTTTTGTCAGAAGCACCCGGCCCTGGAGGGATTGAACTTTTACCTGGACCTCACAAGAGGAAAACAAATGATCCAGCCCCTCAAAATCTGATAGCTGTACCCAAATAAATTCAAGTCTTCACTTCTTTCAAAACACTGCCAGCCTGATCCCTAACGTTACACATGTTTTAGAACAAGCAAGACGAGGGGGGAAAAGGCTCCCCGCAACTTTTGTCTTCTGAACTCCGAAGTGATTATTTTTCTTCCACATACTCTGGGGTCTTAGAAAGGACAGCCCCTGGGTAAGATGGGACACGGGCACTAAAAGGCTGGCGCTACTGGGGATCTGGACAGAAAATCAGTTGCGCTCAGAGCAGCCTTTCATCCCCAACCAACTAGCACCGTGAGAAACGGCACAACAAAGCTGTCTTGAAGACACAGTCCCAGTCAGCGGGTCTGAAGTTGGGAATGCCTAGATGGTCGTTCATCAGAAAATCCGCACAAGACACCATAAGCTTTGATACAAAGTAAGAGAGAGATGGGAAGTTACTGCTATAGGACGGAAAACCAGTGGGCTCTAAAAACACAAGGGGTAAAATTTGCTTCTCAGAAGGCATGAAGGTTTCTTCCAAAAAAAAGTAAGTCAAAACCCCAGGGACACTGGCTAGGAAGCTGCATCTGAAAGCACTCTCGGCCTGTTCCGCTGGCCTCAGAAGTGC